TGGGGAATTCTCTACGGCCTTCTTGCTCTCACCCGTGATGTAAAAGATTTCGTTTTGACCATCTTTCATTCGCGTCACGTAGTCCTTCAAGCTAGTCATCTCGTCTCCACTCTTGGTGGAGTGRTATCGGAGCAATTCCGCGAGTTTGGTCTTGTTTGTGGAATCTTCGTGGATACCCAGTTTGAGATTCTTGGAGAAGGCTTCGTAGAACTTGACGTAATCCTCCTTGTTCTCCGCAATCTCCTGGAAAAGTTCAATGCATTTCTTCACCAAGTTCTTGCGAATAACCTTCAGAATCTTGTTCTGCTGCAACATCTCTCTTGAAATGTTAAGGGGAAGGTCCTCGGAATCCACAATACCCTTAACGAAACTGAGGTACTCGGGTATGATCTCTTCACAGTTGTCCATGATAAAGACACGACGGACATAAAGCTTGATGTTGTTGGGCTTCTTCTTCGAGTCAAACAGGTCAAAGGGGGCCCGCTTGGGTACGAAAAGAACAGCCTTGAATTCCAGCTGTCCTTCRACMGAAAAGTGCTTCACRTTCAAGTGTTCCTCCCAGTCGTTGGTGAGACTTTTGTAGAAAGCTGCATACTCTTCCTTGGTGATCTCCTCTGGCTTCCTCATCCAGATGGGTTTTTGTTTGTTCATCAAAGACCATTCATGAGACACTTCTTTAATCTTCTTCTTTTTCTTCTCTTCCTTCTCCTTCTCTTCATCAACCTCCTCAACTTTGCCTTCCTCGTCTTTCTTCTCTTCGTCTTCATCTTTCTTCTCTTCTTCATCCTCATCATCGGATATTTCCTTCTCGGTTGTCTTCTCGACCCAAAGGGAGATTGGGTAGCTGATGAATTCAGAGTGCTTCTTAATCAGATCCTTGAGCCTGCGCTCCTCAAGGTACTCAAGCTGGTCCTCCTTGAGATAAAGGACAATTTTAGTGCCCCTGCCAAGGGGTTCACCTTCATCCCGGGTTACTGTGAATGACCCACCAGCCTGTGACTCCCAAACATACTGTTCATCATCGTTGTGTTTTGTGGTGACAATGACTTTCTCTGCAACCAGATACGCTGAGTAGAAACCGACACCAAATTGTCCAATCATGCTAACATCAGCACCAGCAGCAATGGCTTCCATGAATTCTTTGGTACCAGAACGAGCAATGGTACCTAGATTATTCACCAAATCTGCAAAAAGATTGGGGCATATAATGGTCAGAAAGGGTGTATACTTAATAGACAATGCTTCATCTTGTTCATTAACATAAATGTAACAAAATGTCTCACCTGCTTTAGTCATTCCAATTCCACTGTCAATGATGGTCAGTGTGTTGTTGGCCTTATCGGGAATGATGTGGATGAACAGCTCTGGTTGAGCATCTAGCTTGCTCTTATCAGTCAAGCTCTCAAAACGAATCTTGTCCAAAGCCTGCGTGACACATTTCAAGTCTATATGAGATAACTTCATATCACACAAATGCAAAATATATGGTTTTTAAAGAAGCAAATATTAAAAATCAGGGGGATGTTAAAATCATGGATTTGATAAACAATTACCGACAAAAGATATTGTATCACTCTTGTTCAATTAAGACGTAACAGAAAAACAAATACTAATAAGAATGAGGGTTACAAACAATTTTGCGCATTGAACTAGAAAGCTAGAATAGATTTTTCATAAAGGAAACCCAAATCTTAGACAAGGTTGTAATTAATGTGCCAACAAAGATCCGGCAAAAAGAATTGTGATGTAGACACAACACAATTACTGAACGATATGTAGACCACGAATAAACATAATTCTCCAAAAAAAATTCAAAATAAAGATTCAAAATTCAAAGCCTCCAAAACAAAAACAAGTTCAACTCAACGGCTTCTCCATTTTGGAATTACAAGATTAATTGTATTACTACCAAAATATTTCAACAATTAATAAAATGTAATTTTCATTTCCGATGTTTCTTCAGGGTAATCATTTTGGGAATTCAAATTTAGAGAGTGGCACAATCTGTTGGAGCAAAAATTTTGCCCAAAATCCCTAAATCTGTTTTGAGATGCTCTAAGAAACTAAGTAGCTAGTGCATAATAATTTGATCTCCTATATGCTCTAAGAGGATCATCAGCCATCGCCACTAAAATGGTGCAAGTTTCAGTACAGAGAGTACTAACTCATTCACTTTTTGACTCCCGAATTTGGAGTCTCATACTTTCGCTCAATTCGTTAAGGTTAAACAAGCAAGTAATGCTTCACGATCTTCAAGCATCACGCTACTTTATACACTGACCGCATTCTTAGTGTTCTTTCCACCAAATTTGTTTGAATGAAATCATGTAAATAAACATTTGCAACTCATAACACCAAAATGAGGCGAAATACGATGTGTTCAAAGAGATAAAACTTTGTAATGGATCGATTTAACGACAAAAAAGTGTGTTCATCAAAGATGCCCTGGAAAAACACAATTACAACAACGAGCCGCATAGATCTTTCTAAATTAAAGCCAGAAACTCATAGAATAGCACATGTCTCATACAACTGAATCTATAAGGAGATAAACAATTGAACACATGAAAGTGGAAAAGAAATACTCACATCGGAGGCGTTGCTAACAAGCTCACGAAGGAAGATCTCCTTGTTGCTGTAGAAAGTGTTGATAATTAGACTCAACAACTGGTTGATCTCAGCTTGGAAAGCAAACGTCTCTGTTTCCGCCATTAACGATCTTCTGGTTCTACGACGACGAAGACTTGTTAGTGGAGGAAAGAACTAAAATCGACGATCTAAAGAAGAAAAGGAAACAAAAGGGTTGTGAGTCTCTCTGGTAGAGGCGATTTTATAAATAGTAAGGCAGCTAGGGTTTCTAGATCCTTCTATTTGAAAAGTATTGGTATTATTTCTTAAATTTACTTATCAACCCCTATATTTTGCTCAGTCTGTCACTTTGTGGTTTTATCTTTTTAGAATGACACTTTGCCTCCTTTTTAACTTAGGAGTAGGAGTGTTCGGGAAAAAAAAAAGTCGGACCTTGGGGTGTACAAAAATTGTCAACTCCTGAAACCCGCTAAGCCAACTCGCCAACAATCCAATTAGACTCAAACTATCAAACCGCTAATTAGAATGGTTGAAATTGGGTTACTCAAACCGCCACTAACATTATTTGGATTAAAATAAGTATGTGTGTGTGTGTGTAACATTATAATTTACATCCCAAAAAACATGTGTATATTTTAGTCCAATTTAGGGTTGTTTAACAGTTGCTGAATGGTTTGGTTCAATTTAGGGTTGTTATTTTAGTCCAAAAAAATGAGAACTGAAACCAGTCATTATCGGTTCCATATTTTACAAACCACAAATGACTATTTCAAAATTGTTTTGGATCCAAAGACAGGTACCTAGTTCTTATGCTTACTCTTAGTTGTGAGTCTCATTAAGCTTATTAAACTACTAACAAACAAACCCATAATACACAAAGTGACTCGTTGATCGAATAAAGTATCGATCAACGAGTTTATCAAGATACTGAATCTTGTTATCAAATATATATATATATATATATATATATATATATTAATTGGGCTTAAAATATATCCAATAAAGTGGCCCAACACCAAGTCTATTATTCTAACAAGAGAAAGCCCAATTGCTCATATGGCAAAAAGTAAGTAGTTTGATGGTTTCCAAATCCCATGAATGAGTTGATGGGTCAAAACATAATTTTGTCTAGAGTTGTTTACGGACAGGACGACCCGTTAGACCAGTCTTGTATGGTCTTATAGAAAAGCGGACTTGGATTATTATTTTCAAAGAAATGGACGAGTCTGGACTAACTTATTAAAATTAATGGGCGAACATGGACAATTTAAAAAAAAAAAAAATTGGACAGGCCCGTCAGACCCATTAATGTTTTTATAATAATTAACTTTTGTAATTAAAATTTACAGATAAAATTGAAAATTCGTAATACTTACCGATTCCTACTTAATTATGACTCATGATAATAACATTATTTAAAAATCTTAAATTTGAAAAAATACATTTACCTCAGTTGATCAATTCTTTATTTTCTCATTTAGTCATTTTCTTTATCGATACTTCATATTTAGCGAAACAATTTATTTCTAAAGAATGTATATTGTTACATATTTACGTCAAATTTTAAGTTGGAAAAATTGTTATGTATTTTGAATTATTTTACATAATTTGTGTTTCTATATAAGTTTTGTTTTCATACAATATAACAAGATTTTTAAGCCCGTTAGCCCGTGGGCAAGACCGAACCGTTTATAGGACGGGTATGGGTAAATTTTCAAGCCCGTAAAAAAAGGCTTGATTTTACCATATTAGGCCCGTTGGACAAAAAACAGGTTAAGCACACGAAATGACTTTTGTTTCGCTAGAATTATGTTTTTTTTAATTATATAATATTTATATACGACAAATGCGACAAAATAAACTCACACGTCATCCTCACCTTTGGTGAGATTTGAACCCCTGACCTTGTACGAGACCAAAGACTACAATAACGCTAGGCCAAAGGTCATTTGATCGTTAGAATTATGTTAATGAATATTTTTTAATTAATTGTAAGTCTATAAAAATGTTCTGAAAGCATATTATTTTCCTCGTTAAAACATGAGTTAGAAGTCGTTTAATAAATGTTTACCAGATAAACGCTTATCGATAAGAGTCATCACCATTTATTTACCTTGTCGAGTAAAATTTTTGGGCACCAAAATGAATTTGCTCGTAAGCGTGTCTTACCCAATAGGCTTAATGGGGCACGGGGGCGGACCCATTAGGAGCTGAGTGAACTCCCTTCGACCTGCTCACTCGATTATTCCAAAGATAAGAAAAAAAATTAAGCTGTCTGAAAGGCGGACTTATATACAAGATGTCATGAGTTTGAACCTTTTAGGTGAAAGTGTCCGCTTTTTATATTTTATTTTGTTGGGCTTCAGAGCTAGCCCAGATCATTTACTCAGGCCCTATAATGTTATTTCTGAAGAAAAAAATAAATTGCATGAAAAAATAACGTACTTTAACTTGATTCATATTTTCGATAATGTATTCTCAAAACTTCTATTTTGGTACCAAAGATGTAAAGTAAACGTTTAAGTACCCGTATAACTGGTTGAAGCATTAACCGGTTATAATGCTGATGTGGCGAGTGATGTGGTATCCAACTCAGTATTATTTGCTGACATGGGCAGTGACATGAATTTTTTTAAATCTAAAATTAATCTCTTTTTAATATAAAATTAGTCTTCAACCGGGTACTTAAATGTTCAAAACTTTACATCTTAGATACCAAAATGGAAGTTTTGAAAGTCGTTACCCGAAATAAGAATCAAGTTAAAGTACGTTACTTTTTTCATGCAATTTGCCCTTCTAAAAAAGGTTAACAACAAATATATAATTAAAAAGATTTAACTCACAACTTCAAGTACAATTATAAGCATTACTACCACTATCCGTATGCAACTTTTTTTTTACTTTTTCTCCCATTTGCATTTTTATTTTCTTTTCATGATTTATTTTTCTTCCTGATGTCAACTGATCCTGAAAAAAAAAAAACTACTGCTTTTTATCTCATTTTCAAGAAAAGTATATATCTTTTAATTCATCAAAATCGATTCCATTTGAAAATTTGTGTTTTATTTCTCAAATCGACATAATTGACTTTTCTTATATCAAACTAAGTTTGACTTTTTTTCCTCGAGTCAAAATGTGATTTTGCGGATTTGATTCGCCTTAAAGGTGCACTCATTCAAAGAAATTCCTACTTCTGTCATTGGTCGGGTAAGTGTCTTTTTCCTCACTTTCTAGAAGAGTGTCACAGGCTGTGCCTGAACTAATCCCAACAAATTGTGACTGTAAGAAAATCAGTACTAATAAACTCGGTTACCATAATTCTTGTCTCAAATCAACACAGTTGAATTTTTCCCTCAGGTCAAGAGGCGATTTTACGGATTTTTGATCCACCTTAAAGGTGCATCTGCTCAAAGAAATTCCAACAACCGCCACTGGTCACGTAAGTGTCTTTTCCTTCACTTTTTAGAAGGATGTTTCAAACCATTTCTGGACTAGTCCCGACAAATTATGACTGCAAGAAATTAGTCATGATAAACTCAACTGCTACAATTGTTGTCTCAATTAACTTTTCTTAGGTCAAACCGTGTTGATTTTTTCCCTTGGGTCAAAATGCGATTTTGCGGATCTTTGATCCATCTTAAAGATGCACTTGTTCAAAGAAATTCCTACATCCGCCACTGGTCACGTAAGTGTCTTTTCCTTCACTTTTTGGAAGGGTGTCTCAAGCTATCTCTGGACTAATCCTGACAAACTGTGACAGCAAAAAATCAGTCTTGATAAATTCAGTGATCACAATTGTTGTTTTTCTCTCACTTACTGAATTAGATTCTCAATATTTACTATATTTTTACCAGGTAAAATTATCAGTAACTAAAATCCAGTAAACACTTACCAGATAAAAAAAACCCTTATTTTATTGTTTTACCGAACCTATTTAAGATGCTTTCAATTTTACGTTTTAAAGAAAAGGCGCGAATGTGCATATGGGCAAGTAGCCGTCAGCCGTATCCACGTTAGGTGCGACGGCAGGCAGGAAAAGCTTCCATGCATCTCGCCCACATGTCGTACCATATGGACCACATGTACTCACTATTTTACTTTTTTTATTTTATAATTTTTTAAATCTTTTAAATATTAAAATGTCAATAGATATTATCCCAAATTGTAAACAAGGAGTTAGTTTACTAAAAGGTCATTTACCAAATATTTACCCGATAAATGGTTATCGATAAAACTCAACATTTTTATTTTTTTACCTGATAAGATTTTAGTCCACTAAAATGGCATTGAATACAACAATTTATCTGGTAAGTGTTAATCATGGTAAGAGTCATCGTTCTCACTTATCGGATAAGAGTCTCGGTCCTTGCATTGTTCTTACCGAGTAAGATTTTTGGTCATTGGCAAATTCATCTGATAAGGTAATGTGACTTGGTAAGCACTTACCCGGGTAAGCGTTTGGTAAACGGCCCATAAGTATTTATCTTGGTAAGTATTACTGGTTCAGTTATTTTATTGGTTAAATATAACAAAACCAAAAATCTTACCCAATAAGAGGGAAGACAAAGATCAAGAATGTTATCAGGTAAATACTTATGACGTTATAAATGCTTACTGTTAGTTCAGTTTGATGGCTATGAATGTTACCTACAAAATCAACGAGAGTGGTGTCTTTTGTCGGTAAACGCTTACCCGGTAAATATTTGTAAACAATCCCTAAGTATTACTTATATTAAATGACCATTCATCTGTACAGTATACACATATGCATACAAGTAATTTGTAAGTCATTTTTTCAGTATGCACATGCGCATAGAAATCGAGAAATATATTCGATTATTTGTATGTACATATACATACAGTACAAGTGAATGTTTATGAATGTGTTTTTCAAATTTTCATTTTTTGAAAGTTTCTCCCTTATCATCGTAATTATAAATCATTTGACAAAAAAAAAAACTTTTAAAAATCATTTTTATGCATGAAGTACTGTTTATTGATGCACATTACTTAAAATTCAAGATTATAAGTAAATTGTACGTAAATACAACTTATTAAAGATCCATATTTGATTTCGTATAACTAACGACAAACAAATATAATCAAATACATGAAAACATTTCATTTTAATTATAAAAAAATCTAAAATATAATAAAGATAATCATTGAGTTCTAACAGAATATTTAATTATTATCTTTATAAAAAAATATTATTGAACCAAAAATAAATTACTTTTTTATTAATCCTAATTATAATAAAAAATATTGAATTAAAGAAATTACATTAAAAAAAATGAGAATATATAAATAGTTAATTTGATATTAATTTCGATATATGTTTTTTTCAAAATTTTATAATTTATATTTTATTTTAAAAAATGTTATTTTTTCAAAACCACATAAAACTGTATTATAACTTCGACAGGAGACATAATAAAACAAAGATTAAAATCGAGTTGTGTCTCGCTGCATTGTGCAAGTAACCCTTCTAATAAATCATAAGTGATATACCCGAGACAACTTAAGACTTGGGTTCACGTGACACCAGTCTGTTTTCGTGAGACTACTTTTTTACACTTGAAACTTCATAGCAAAATCATCACATTGTTTTTACTGTGAAGGTTCGACCTTTTTATTTACCTTCACAGGGTTTTAATGTGAGGTTTCAAGTGTAAAAAAATAATCTCACAAGTCTTACGAACACAAACCGGTCTCACGTGAACCTAACCCGACAACTTAATAATATTATACCGACTTGAAAAGTTTAAACTATAATAAATTTTATTAAAATAAAATAAAAAAATTGTGAAGTATTTACATATATTATTGTCACGTGCGACCACTTATAAAAGTAAAACAAGATTAGATCTCGATTCACAACAATAAAAAAAATATGACTTTAATTCAAATTTATTCGTTTAAAAAAATATATATTTGTATTTTATTAAATATAGAAATAATTTACATATATGTTTCTGACTGTAAAACATCAGTCTTGATAATTTCAGTGATCACAATTGTTACGCACGACATCTGGAATCAAACTCAGGGTATATGAAATATTCCACCACATCCTTCTGGACCTTAACCACTACGCCACAACCCTTGTAGTTGTTTACGTATAAGGATAGTTACTTAAGAGATTCTTTTTGGTGGCTCTCGTGTATTTTTTTAAACGCATTATGGTTCTACACATTCTTATATATACCTGTGAACACGTATGAGCACATTCTTATGAATACATGATATTACAACACACATTCTTATAAACATCGTTAAATACCATAAAAGTAACTTATACATGAAAATTTGTAACATCTCGTTAAATACTATAAATCTAACTTCTACATAAAAATTACCTATTTACCCTTCATCATTAAATCAAACACTTGAAGTAACCTCTATTAAAGAATTAATATTATTGGTCCAATAAGTTTACAAAGTTAACATCATATTCTTGGTTAACACAAGATCTTACCCATAATATATACTGAGGTGTTGTTCGGTTAGTTTTCATCAAGTCCTTTATGAATAAAATTATCTGTATAGATTAAGAAAGTTTCTGTTTGAAAGAGTGTTTCATAGATGAAATAAGCATGTTCTTTAATTAAGAGGGACACGTTTGAAAAAAAAACTTGGCTTTATACATAAAGTTCCTTCGTAAAAGCTTAATAAATAAGTCATTTTTTTATATCATTAAACCTTTACCAAACAGTCATGTATAAATCCCATTAGAAAACTAATAAACATGCCTTATCTATGCTATATTATAAAACATTTGACAAAAAGTTTTAAAAACCATTTTTTATGCATAAAGTACTATTAATTAATGTATATTACTTAAAATTAAAGATTACAAATAAATTAGACATAAATACAACTTATTAAAGCTCCATTTTTGGATTCGTGTAACTAACTATAAGTAAACATCTCATTTTAAATATCAAAACTTTAGATGTAATTAGAATAATCTTTGATTTTTAACATAATACTTAATTATTATCTTTATAAAGAAATATACTATTAAATCAAAAATAAATTACTTAAATTATAATAAAAAAAATTAAATTAAAAAAAATTATACCAAAAAACAAAAAAAAAACAAAAAATAGTTAATTTGATATTAATATCGATATATTTTTTTTCAATATTTTATGATATCTTCAAATTTATATTTTATTCAAAATTAAAAACATTATTGTTTTTTCAAAACCATGTAAAACCGTATTTTATCGATATAGACAAAAAATAAAACAAAATATTAAAATCAAAATATATCTTACTATATTATGCGAGTATCCTTCTAATGTCATAAAAATGAGTAGCAAAATAAAATTGAAAGTGTTACAAGTGAAAAGGAAACAAAAATAGTACAATTGAAGAGGATGCATGTACTTTTGGTGACAATTACTTTGCAAAGGAAAAAACCATGCAACAAACCTCATAAAAGCTAACATCCAAAACACCTCAAACCATGTCAACCCACCTTACTTGCATTCACATTCTCCAATATTTCTATATTTTATTAAGCCCTTTATCAAATGTTTATTCAGATAAACACTTATTAAATCATATTACATTATCAGATGAATATGGTAATGATAAAAAAGCTTATTCGATAAGAGCGAGACAAGGACCAAAAATCTTACCCGGTAAGTGAGACAACGACTCTTACCATGGTAAGTGTTTACCGGGTAAGTAAATGATAGTGTTGAATTTTACCGGATAAGTATTTGGAAAACGACCCCTTATACTTTTTTTTTGATCAACCTGGATATCCAACCCGCTATGCGAGCCAACTAATCTCAGGACGACCACCTGCTTTGCAGGTAGCTCGGAGTCACCGCATTTGAACCTCCGTGGCCACAAGAAATTTTTATTCTTCCTTGCATTTGAAAATAAGTTGTTATTTTATGCATTTAACCCTAATATATAATTAGCATTTTAAATTTAAAAAAAAATGGTGGAGGTCGTCTACTACAATTCTTGTATAAACAAAACATGGGGTTTCCCCCTCAACAATCCCCATAACACATCTCTTCTTTTTCTTCTACTCTCCAAAACCAATGCCTCATCCTCATTCTACCTTCTCCTTCGCCCTTCTCTCCATCTTCATCTTCTTCCCCTATCTTTCCAACTCCATTGATTCACAGGGCCACCTTCTTCTTTCATGGAAAACCACCTTCAAAACCGCCATTAACGACCTCCAATCTTGGAACCCTTCAGACCCAACTCCCTGCAAGTGGTTCGGAATTCATTGCAATTCAGCAGCTCATGTGGTTGCCATTAGACTCAACTCCATTGATTTGCAGGCTCCATTGCCTTCCAATTTACACTCTCTAAAGTTCTTGGAGTCACTCGTTCTCTCCTCCACCAATCTCACCGGACCCATTCCGGCCGAGTTCGGAGATTATCTACACCTTACGGAACTCGACATATCGGATAATTCGATTTCCGGTAGGATTCCGCCGGAGATATGCAGGTTGAGCAACCTGCACACTTTGTCTCTCCATACCAACTCTCTTGAAGGCGAAATCCCGGTGGAGATCGGAAGGCTTTCGAGTCTTCGAAGCCTGATGATTTACGATAATCGGTTAAGCGGAAGGATTCCAAAGAGTATAGGGCAATTGGGAAACCTTGAAGTGATCAGAGCCGGCGGGAACAAGAATCTTGATGGGGAGTTGCCGGAGGAGATCGGGAATTGTAGTAATTTGGTCATGTTGGGAGTGGCGGAAACGAGCATCTCTGGCGGGATTCCAGCGTCCATAGGGAAATTGAAACGGATTCAGACGATAGCAATATACACATCTCGATTGTCCGGTACCATTCCTGACGAAATCGGAAACTGTAGCGAACTACGAAACCTTTATTTGCACCAGAACTCCATCTCCGGTTCAATCCCGAAACGTATCGGGGAGCTTCGGAAGCTCGAGAGTGTGCTCCTATGGCAGAACAGTTTAGTTGGGACAATCCCCGAAGAACTCGGCAGCTGCAACGAGCTCAAGACGATCGACTTATCGGAAAACTCGTTAACGGGAAGAATTCCGGCGAGCTTCGGAGGGTTATTGAAGCTTAGAGAGCTGCAACTATCAGTCAACCAGTTATCAGGTACCATACCTCTAGAAATCACAAACTGCACTGCGATTACTCATTTAGAACTCGATAACAATCAGCTTACTGGCGAGATTCCGATTCTGATTGGTCGATTACGAAGCATGACTCTGTTTTTCGCTTGGCGGAATAATCTAACTGGTAGTATTCCGGAATCTTTATCCCAATGCCATCATCTTCAAGCTCTTGATCTCTCGAATAACCATCTTTCCGGCACGATAGGAAAAGAGATATTTTCACTGAAAAACCTCAGGAAACTGCTTTTGCTTTCGAATGATTTGTCTGGTTCGATCCTGCCAGATATTGGAAACTGCACAAACTTGTACAGATTAAGAGTCAATGGCAATAGGTTTTCCGGAAGTATTCCATCGGAGATAGGAAATCTAAAAAATCTGAACTTTCTTGATATGAGCAGCAACAGATTCGTCGGAGTGATTCCAGAATCGATCTCCAGTTGTGCTAATCTTCAGTTTCTTGATCTCCATTCTAATGGACTTGATGGTGTTATCCCTAATACACTTCCTATAAGTTTACAGTTTGTAGATATATCCGATAACAGGCTCGAGGGTCCATTGACACCTAGTATTGGTTTATTGACCAAATTAACGAAACTTAATTTAGGAACGAACCGGTTATCTGGAGAAGTTCCATGGGAGATTGTTTCTTGTGGTAAGCTGCAGTTGTTGGATCTTGGAAACAATTGTTACTCAGGTCTATTGCCGAAACAGCTAGGACAAATTCCGTCACTCGGAATCTCTCTCAATCTTAGCTGCAATCAGTTCAACGGCGAAATCCCAGCGGAGTTCATCGGGCTTGCTAAACTAACAAGCCTAGACCTATCTCATAATAAGCTCAACGGTACGCTAGACGTCCTAAAAGATCTTCAGAATCTAGTCTCTCTGAATGTCTCATTCAATGACTTCACCGGACAAATGCCCAACACTCCGTTCTTCCGTAACCTCCCTCCTGCCGGTACTGCCGGAAATCCAGCTCTGTACTTTGTCAGTGGAGTCGACACTCCGCCTGATGAAAAGGGTTTTGCTGGCCATGCCAGACCAGCAGCAAAACTAGCCATGTCAATCCTCGTCAGCATTGGGGCAATACTAGTCCTACTAGGAACTTACATGTTGGTTCGGACCCATTTGGCGAACATAAAAGTTGACGATGAAACGTGGGAAATGACATTTTACCAAAAGATAGAAGTTTCGGTTGATGATATAGTTCGAAACCTAACAACGTCAAACATCATCGGCACCGGAAGTTCTGGAGTTGTATATAGGGTGACAACCATGAAAGGGGAAACGCTGGCTGTGAAAAAGATGTGGTCAACAGAGCAGTCAGGGGCTTTTAGTTCTGAGATTCAGACACTCGGTTCGATTAGACACAAAAACATTATCCGTCTATTAGGATGGGGTTCGAATCAGACAATCAAGCTTCTATTTTATGATTATTATCCTAACGGAAGCTTGAGCTCGCTTCTTCACGGTGCTGGGAAGGGAGCAGAGTGGGAGGATAGGTACAACATTCTCCTAGGTGTGGCTCATGCTCTTTCTTATCTACACCATGATTGTATGCCTGCTATCTTACACGGGGATGTTAAAGCCATGAATGTGCTATTGGGTTCTAGCCTACATCCTTATCTTGCTGATTTTGGGCTGGCTCGACTTGTTACCAATGACCAAAATGGTCTTTCGAAGCAGATCCAAAGACCTCAGCTAGCGGGTTCTTACGGATATATGGCTCCAGGTAGTGAACAACTACCTTTTTTCAGCTTGAGTAGTTTTAAATTGTTATCATCATTTTCACTGATCGGATATCGGGTTTATGATTACTACAGAACATGCATCAGGGCAATGGATTACTGAAAAGAGTGACATTTACAGCTTTGGAGTGTTACTTTTGGAGGCCTTGACCGGAAAGCATCCCCTAGACCCAACTTTACCAGGGAGTGAGCACTTGGTCCAGTGGGTGCGGGAACACTTGCATGGCAAGCAGGACCCAGTGGACATTCTTGATCCGAAACTAAGAGGAAGAGCTGACCCTCAGATGCACGAAATGCTACAGACACTAGCTGTGTCATTTCTGTGTGTAAGCCCACATCCCGATGACCGCCCAATCATGAAGGATGTGGTTGCAATGCTCAAGGAGATTCACCATGAGGATTCGACGAGGTCAGACCCAGAGCTGAAAGGGGGTTCATCCCCAGCTCCTGGATGACCCATCACCCATGGCCTTAAAAGATTCCTGTAACTGCTCCTAATGTTCGTCTAGTGACCATGGTGACCCATGTGTCTTTATCCAGTGTATTAAGATAGTGTAAATGTAGAAGCTAGGAACTGATTGATAGTTTTGAATCTTTATGATTATAATCAAATGCATGGAATTTAGTTGCTTTTCTCTCTCCCTCTCTCTCTCTCTATATATATATATATAAATACAGATATAATTATATATATACACATATATAATTATATATATATAGATACATATATAATTATATATATATAGATACATATATAATTATATATATATCTCGAGTCAAGTCAACCTCCCAGAACTAGTTCACATGGGCCCAGGCTCTAAACACCATGTGTCCATGTGAGCTTCACAGGCTTACAGCAAAGCAATAAAGACTTGGTACCAGCCTTGAAACTTGATATCTGCTACAAGCACCAGGTGGGTAGAGTATTCAACTGCTCTAAGCAAAACCAAGAGAACATGCAACATGCAGTTGATTGAAACTAAGCAAGAATTTGTAATTGCTTCATATAACAAAATGAAATAATTCAGCCTGACAGCAACTACCACATGATAACCAAAACATCTATGGGCTTAGTGGCCAATTAGGTTACAGAAGATCAAAGAAAACAGGTGCTTTTTTAGGTTCACATTAAATGTAGAAATGCAGGCCATAAACTAGGTAAAGATTTCAATTCCCAGTAAATAACAGAGATACATCATCCTAAACCAGTGTTGTGTAAATATCTTGTGTACAATAGAATGATGGTGCAGTTCATCAAGTTGCCGCATGCATGACTCCAAGTAGTACTCTTCTACATCAATTGACTAACCATATTAGACATGCAGAACAGAGGAATGTGTGTAAAGTACAAATCACCAACCATCATCTGAAGCCAAGGCCATGGAGAAGTAAATTTACTCTACGGAGGATGCCCAGATTGTAACTTTTTCAAGATGAAGTTGATAACCCCCCAATTAAAGCCACGGTATTGAAGCCATGCAATGATTCTTGACTTTTGTTTTTCACCAGGGAGATCTTTAGCACGAAGCCACTGCTTTGAAGCTTGGGCATATAGATGATCCAGTGAGGGCTTTGATAATCCAAGTCTAGAACATTGATCATCGATAGGTTCACCATCTTCGAAGACCAGTTTTATTGCTTTCTGTGCATCAAGATCATTAACACCCTTTCTGGCCAAGGCCTGAAAAAAAAACACATCTCATAAGAGAGGAACACCACTCGTTGCTAACAAACTAAGTAACAGGAAGTGAATCAGAAAAAGTTATTCTTCCTTGCCATTTCTGAAATTCATGTTTCAAAATAATTGGCTAAACATTGTAAAATGTTTTTATTTTTTAAATACGAATATCCACAGAAATTCCACTATATGAAAATTTATTACAATGACACAAACTAATCTCTCAAGACACCCCCAATTACACCCACACTCTCCAAAAATTTAACTCATCTTTCTGCACTCTATAACATGCTGGTCGCGAACTTGAGGATAATTATTGTAGGAAAAAGAAGACAAGTTGGGTGGTAACTAGTAACACCAAGCCCATATATGCTGCTACACTATAAGCCAGTGTAAAGGTGGGAAGTTAGATAATGCATACTGTGATACTACTGATACATTGAATCAATATACAAAGAAGGTTGGTTTTAATATGTATGACCCCTTGGCTACTGTGGTATTTTCATTTTCTGTAGTTAGATTACCGTTATAGCCTATCAGACTGTAGAAATAATCACAGAGAGAACAGCTTACTTGTTTGATTCTACGTGGACCCCAACTTGATGAAGACCATCTCGATCGAGAAAATGCTTCAGCATAAGAGAAATCATTGATAAAACCTCTGTAACAAACTTGAGAAGTCAACAACTTCTCAAAGATAATTAATAAAGAGTTTCACAGGAGACATCAGTTGCAACAAAGTGTTCTTGGGCCTAGACACAGAATTTTGAGGTAGGCTGGAAAGGGGTGGGTTATTAAAAAAATGATCTGACTATTTGAGTTTTGCTTTCTGTTCAGAGATAATGTATTATTGTCTTTGAAAGCAACAGGAAGTACAGCCCAAAAAACTTGGTTAAACAAAAGATAAAATAAACTAACTGATGATGCTATATCATGAAATCCATCTAAAATAACCTTGTAACTAATTAGGTCTCACAGTATGCAAGGCATTCCATGTGCATTCTAAAATCATGAACCATGGTATTGATTAAGCACCTGTTCTGGAAGTCAGAAATCACAGCATTGATAACTTCATGGGAGAACTTCTTTCCTAGTAGTTTCTTCTTCAGCTCGAGTGCTGTGTATGCTCTGCAAAAATAGAGAGCAGTCTTAAACCCAGAAGTCTGAGTACCAGAACATTTATATAGGTTAACATGAACATCTTCTGTAGTATATCTCACAAGTATCTTCCAGTTCAAAACTTGATGGTGTAAATCAGAGAAGAAAATCTCAAGGAAGAACGCTCACACCTATGCATGGTTGGTTTTTAGGATATGATGAATATATGACTTTGGAATTACTTGCTTATGTGTGTACAACTGAGATTATCCAACACATATAACACAATTTTGAACCTAATAGAACACAATTAATATGGTGAAAGAAGAATGTTTCAAAGTGGTAATTCTGGTTATTCCTCTGTGACCGAGAGGTCAAGTTCAAGAAATGGTAGGGAAAGCATAGGAGATTTGCTGCCCCCCTTCTTTTTGGTACTTTATGGTTAGGAATCTATGTACCTTTAGCTGTAATGTCTTTCTAGCACTGCGGTTAGACCTTGAGAACAAGGAGAAGTGGAACATAAAATAATAAAAAACAGAGCTACCTAATGTCAGATATTTTGATGGGAAAAAATTGACCATCAACATAACCAGATTCTGACAAGAAACTATTGTCTCAATATGTGGTGCCAAATACAAGTAAATAAACAAAGGTAGAACCCATTGGATCTAATGATCTAATCCAAGCAGCATGTGTTTCAACACCTTATTTTGCCTCTAATAACAATGACCACATAAATAAATCATGAACCAACACATTGTCTGCCAATACTCAACGCCATTAAGAGGATTAAAATCATGTAGTTGGGAAATGTACTTAGCCTGCATGAAGACAAATTATTACCACATTATTGAATGCAAAACCTATAAAGCGTCAATAACCATACTAGTATAATACAAAACACTAAGATCTTGGGATCTCCATTATAAACGAGACAAGGATTCTGGAAGCTATATGAGACTCAAGTTCATATGCAAGGATTCAAACCTTGCAGCAAGCAATCCAATTGTTGTCTTCTCAGCTGCTTCTTTAGTTTTACTAGGGTCGGGTGCGAGATGTTTGATTTCGTTATTTCCATTATGAGTGTCAAATTCATCCAAAACCGCCTCAGGACCTTCCATGGCATCAAACTCGTCAAGGTCTTCACCAGAATTTGACTCTGGAAATCTCCATTTATAATCATGTTCTCCCACCTCTGATCTCACAGCTGAATTACGAATCTTCTTTTCTTTTGATTTTAACTTGCCTGTTTAGATATAGACCATGTCACTTCAGTTACAACTTTTCTCCGATTCCATAATCGGAGATGGATTCTTATTACACTACCGTACAGAAAATAACAATCAAGGAGTAAACAAAAAGTAATCCAAAATCAAAAACCGTTATGAAGATAATAAACATAAAGTTAAACCCTAGAAATAGAAGGATGTACCTGACCTAAAATCGTAATCTGGTGATTTTTCGTCCAAAATTGATCCTATCCTCGACCTCTCCTCAGCATTTGAAATTTCAACACTAGACGAATCAGGGTTTGTGAATCGACGAACTTCGTAATTCTCGGAGTCTTTTGGAGACCGAGTAGAATCATCGAGTTTATTAAATTTCGAAGATTTCTTAGGAGTGTACCTAACTGGAAAATCCTTGGATCTTTCCCCAAAATTCGAACAGCATCGAACAATAATCTTCTTCACGCTACTGAACCCAAATCAAATATCACCACATCACAAACAAAAAACCAACAAAAACATCGAGTTTCAGAACAAGTTATACGAATTATCAATAAATAAAGGCATAACGAACAGCAATTCACCATGGCTTCGAGAACACACGGGACTGAATATCGAGTGCAGCGCCATAAATGAATTTTCCCGCGAAAATCGCCATTCTCTTTGAAATCTTGTCCAATTTGAAGGAACGAAGTATAAAAACCCTAAGCAGGCGGTAGTTACAGAAATGGCCTGAACTCAATTCATGTTCTCCTTTTTCACTTCCTAATTGTCCTTTTGGCAAAAATAACCCTTGTAGTTTCAATACTAGACAACACACACCCCAACCTCCCTCCGCTTCGTCCATATGTACGACTTCTATTTTATACATATGTTGTATGGAAAAATTTCATACTTTAATTTGATTCTTATTTTGGATAATGTACTTTTAAAACTTTCATTTGGTACCTAAGATATAAAGCTTTAAACATTTAAGTACTCAGGTAACCAGTTAATGATGATGTGACGAATGATGTGATATCCAACTCAGTATTATTTGTTATTCAACCTAATTCCATTTCATCATGGTAACCGATTGATGCTTCAATCGGTTTAGTGGTACTTAAATGTTTAAAACTTTACATATGTGTGTATGTGTGTGTGTGTGGTTTTGAAAGTACGTTATCCAAAATATGAATCAAGTTAAAGTACGTTGTTTTTTTCATACAATTTGCCCATAAATATATACGAGCAAAGTTTTGTTAAAAAACTAAAATTGATAAGAACTTGGGAATCGTTAATAATGTGTCATGTGTTTCTTTTCAATGTGAATATTCATCATGAATATGGAAGTATTATTCTTGACGAATCACACATTCATATGAATATGGGCGTGTCATTCATCGTGATCAATATCTTACAACATCAATAATGAATAACACGTCTATATTCCTGGTGAATATGTCACATGTCAGTATGTCACGTTGTGGCAAACAGTCCTCCCCCCCCCCCCCAAAGTGATTCAAACTTCAATTTGTTGTGTATTTGAGTAAAGTCGTTACGTTCCTTTATCAATTAAGCTACAAGCGTAGCAGATTGAAGTTTAAAAGGCTTCGAGTCTTTTAAAATGGACTTATATGTCGATTACTTTCAGTATTTTACATACATTTGAATCAGGTAATCTTCCAAACGTGAAGAAAATGACAAAATTCAATGCAATCGTCTTCGTTCGGGTTTACTTCGCATGAAAGGCTATCAGGATCGAAATCGTTTGTGCTTTGCCTGAAAATAAACATTCCCGACCCCGTGTTCGGCTCCATATACAACCAATCGTGCACGTCCCACAACACTTGTACCGGTATACCATCCACCTGAAACTCCTCGTACCCTCGGAATCTCCAATGCAAATTGGCAACCCGAACGGAAACAATCCCGTCAACGCCGATCCACATTTCAGGCTCGTAATTCTCGCACAAAGCTGCCTCGATGACCACATGATGTTCTCTTCCTCCGTCACCTAACATCGTTCTAACCGTAAACAAATTCTTCCCGAAAACGTTCTCTTCCTTGAGAACCAACACCGGTTTCGCCAACCACGGCTTCGATTTCGTTCGCCTGAAAGCTTCTTGCTCTTGATCTCCAAGCAACAAAACCATCTCGTGATCAGAAACCAACGCGACGTGATAATCCGAGCACGGCTCGGGAGCCCCGTTGGCGAACTTAGCGGACCGTAAATTCCAGAAAACGTCAACCCGTTTTCCGTTAATCGGAAACGATTTCAACCCTTTCTTGCCCCAAAACTGCCAGGTTTTGACGTCGATTTTGCAGGTGGAGGGATCTTCATCTTCTGAAAGGGGTTCGATTGTGATTTGGAGGGAGATGTTGATGAGATTCTTGGACCATGTGGTGGTCACGTGACGGGTTACGCCATTGATGGTTGTTCTGTAAACACAGCTAACGAAGTTCCATGAAGGTTCATTGGCAATGGCTTCTTCTGTAAGTTTTATCCATTGGAGAGATGGAGAGTAACCAGACATTGACCATGAATCTGGTTCAGATTGTGTGTGTGTGTGTGTATATATGTATGTATATATCTACAAACAGACGTATGAATCTCGAGATATTGGGCGAGAATATATGAATCTTGAAGAAATGTTGAATGTTGGTGGAATGAAATCGAATTTGGAATCAGAAGATTCTCCGAATGGTTGTTTGAGGAAGAATATTTTAGATCTTTCTAAATTTAGAAAGAGTTGGCATATACTCTTTTAAGAAACAATACCAAATATAGAAATTTTGATGGAAATTAATTAAAATTCCAACCATGTCGCTAAAAAAAATCAAATATGGTAGGTTCATAAATATTAAAAAGAACTCAACTTCAATCATACTTTAAAAAAATATTAAATTTATGGACTTCATATTAAAATAACATATTTTATTTACTATTTTTAATAACAATAATATATATATATATATAAACAAAAAAACATTTATTTTATTTATTTCTAAATTATTAAATGAAAAATGGTTTTTAATACAGAATGGGACCCACTTTTTTTGTCGTTCGAGATATCCACGACATATTTGCCATTGAAATAATGCAACCGGCAAAACCTAAATCCATTTGCCGGCCGATTGGAAAGCTAACAAACAGCAAATCCTTAAAATTGTTGATCGATTGGAGATGCTCTAAGTGACAACTTCTTAACTTGCAGAGGAGTTAAAGTGTAAAAGAAGTTTTTTGATTCAAGTTATATGAACCAAATCTGTAAATTAGTCTTGGCACATCCCTAAGTGGTGGAAATGTTGGGGCCTTTATCTAATTTACAGATTTGACATTTGTACTAACGGTCTTGATTCAGAACCTTCTTCTTGTTACACTTTGATTCATCCACAATTTGAGGAGTTGTGACTTATGGAGGTAGTGGCATTTCTGAAATACTGGAAGAGAAATTGGCTAAGAGATTAAACCAAAATTTGAAAATGACTATTTCTTATGTACTATTTGACCTACCTTAGTGCCGAACCTTCTTGTCTAGTATAAATAGGCCATGATTTTTAGCTTTAAAATAACAATTAACCTCTGGGTTTAATTTACTTTCTCTCTTACTGCTTTCTAGATTTCGGATTTTTTGCTTACCAAGAACCGAATTGTTTGAAGTTATCTTTGCTACCTTGTTCTTACTTTAAAGTTCAATCAAAGTTCAAGTATTTTAAGTTCATCTCCTTTTTCTCATTTCCAGTTCTCGTATCTTCTTGTTTCCTTTCGATTCTCAAAAGTAGCCTAGTGAAAAGGATCGATCTTTGGGTGTCGATGATGGATGGTTCTTTGGATGAATTCGTTCGTGGGTGGGAGAGTACAGGGGGAGGGGTGTTGGTGGGTGTGTGGTGGTCTGGTGGATGGTGGGGGGTTTGACGCTGCCAGAGATAGAGGGAGAGGGGGTTCACGGGTGAGAAGAGAAAGGTCTTGCCTGAAACAATGACCGAGTGACGGGAAAGATGGACGTAGGAGAAGATGATGTTTGCATTTGGTCCTCTAAGTTATAAATTATACGTTATGACCCTAATTTAAATTAAAATAAATAAAAAATGTAAAAAGACCCTTATGCCATCCATTTGAACGATTATGGTAGATGGTCGTTGGTCCGAGGGACCAAATACAACAGAAAGTGCATACCACACCAAATCCACAATAAATGAAGTTTAGGGTCGTTTTCGTAAAAATCAACAAATTATAAGGACCAAATATATAATTTACTCTATATATTAAAACCTTCAAAACTATTTAACAATTCATACATTCTAATAAATTCAAATAAAATTTTCACAAATAGTGTTTCAGCTCGTATATATTGTATTAAATGTACCGCAGACACAAATAACACTTGGAGTAGATTTACAGCCGTTCACCGAAAACTTATCCGATAAGTGTTTATTAGTAAAATTCAATATTATTATTTATTTACCGGGTAAAATTTTAGTCCACCAGAACAGCAGCATATGCAATAATTTACCTGATAAGTTCTTATCGTGGTAAGAGTCGTTGCCTTAACTTACCGGGTAAAACTTTTGTTCCTTGTCTTACCAAGTAAGATTTTTGGTCCTTGTCATATTCATCTAGTAAGGTAATGTGACTTGGTAAACGTTTACTCAGGTAAGCGTTTAGTAAACCGCCCTTTAGAGTTAGAAGAGCTATCTTATGAAAGAACATTTACTTTTTCCCCGTCTTATAAATTTTCTCACAAAATAATCCAGAAACTACAAGTCAATACGGTAAGACATTTTTTCTTGCGGTTTCACAAGTTGCGAATTGGGCTTGCAGTTTCACAATATACGATTTTGGCTTGCTTTTTTGTGCAGACGTAAGGAAATACAATACTACAACTTACGGTTTTTAGTGGTTTTTGCAGTGGACCCATTTTTTCACTAGATGTGTCATAAAACCATAAGAAAAAGTATCTTGCAGCGTGACTTACGGTTTTTCGATATTTTTCAAAGAAAAAATTACAAGAATGCTATAAAGTAAATGTTTTTTCATTTGAGATGATAACTAGGGGTGTTCATGGGTTGGGTTGATCAAGCTGAAGACATTTGAACAATACAACCCAATGCTTGCAGTTTGAAAATTCTTAAACCAACCCGACTCAAATCAAAGTGCAACCCAACCCAAAACCGTACGGGTTGATCGAGTTAGTAGGGTTGAAAATTTGGTACATTAAATTATTTTTCTAACATTGAATGTGTTATTTCTCTACTGATAATTTAGTTTTCATCATCAACCATTTGATACAACTTATCCATACTTCTTACGTATATCATATCCAATTAATTTTCTCAATTTACACATATATGTTAACAGTTACTGAACATATATACATATGAGTTATATAGAGACAAAAAATAGATTGAAAATATATACATATGAAGAGCGTACATGATAGTGTAATTGTATAATGTATATATTATTATATTAATATAAACTCAACAATCATATTAAATCCAAGATAAAAAAAAGGATATCGGGTTCATTGGGTTGAATTGAGTTCAAATAATAGTAACTCAATATCAACCCAATATCTACAGTTTAAAAATTTTACAACTCGATTAAACATCGGGTTGGAGTCATTTTGCCTTGGGTTCAGATGCGGATACAACATTTAAGCACTAGGGGGAAAGGCCACAGTCAAAAACTAAAAACCTTTATTGACTAGCTTAAATTTTCTATTTTCACCATCGTCTTACGTGGTTTCCCCACAGTCTCATATGACCATATGCTTCCCTCCCCCAAGTCCTATCCAACGTGTCCCCACCCCATTAATTTTTTGAATCCGTTACTGATTAGGTAGATCAGATTAATCGGATTTTTAAGCACCCTAACGATAACCCAAGTTTGAAGGATGGTACGGAAATCTCCTTTGCAAAGATCTTGGATGTGTGTGTGTGTGTGTGTGTTTTTTAAGAGGACAAAAATTGGATGAGAAGCTTATGAACCATGTTCACAAGGACAAGATAAATAAAAAAACCCCAAAAACAAAGGACAAAATTGTCATTTGGCACATTGTATCATCGATCACTCATTTTTCCCCTTATCCCACCTTGATAACTTTCTTTAGGCTCAACACCACCACACGTGTCCTTCACTCATTCGCCTCCATCTCACTAGCCAGCATATTCCCTTTATTTATTTTTATTTTATTTTAATAAATAAATAAATTCAAAATCTATAAAATTCGTTCATCCTCCTTTCTTCTTTTCTCGTCTTCCGCTCTCCATCACCGTCCAACCATGTCGGCCTTCGTCGGAAAGTACGCTGGTAACGTTACTTACCCTTCAGTATTTTTATCTGTTTCTGTAATATATTTATCAGTACCCTTCATATTCTACGTTGTATAAGAGCTTTTAGCCTCTAAGAGTATGTGTAAAAGTATCTCCAACAGTTATATTATTTTAGAAATGGCAAATTGCATGAAAAAATAACGTACTTTAACTTGATTCTTATTTTAGGTAACATATACTTTTGAAACTTCCATTTTGGTACGTAAAATGTAAAGTTTTAAACATTTAAGTACCCACGTAACCGGTTGAAGGGGCGTGTTAGAGTCTCAAATCAGTTAGGATTGGATCTATTGCAACCTCCATTTTCTTTTTTTGGGTGTCCCAAGCTCTGGACTAATCCCGACAAATTGTAACTGCAAGAAACCAGTCATAATTAATTCAATGGGCAAAATTGTTGTGTACGTCTGGAATCAAACCCTGGGCATATGAGATATTCCACATCCCTCAGGACCTCAATCACTTCTTTTCAGTGGCTCTTTTGAAAAGTAATCTAGTAGGCTTTCAGATATTCTTAGATCAGTAGTAAATTAATCTTCTTATGACGGGTTGCAGATGAACTGATCAAGAATGCCAAGTACATTGCCACGCCCGGAAAGGGTATATTGGCGGCGGACGAGAGCACTGGCACCATCGGGAAACGTCTCTCGAGCATCAACGTCGAAAACGTTGAGTCAAACCGTCAAGCTCTTCGTGAACTCCTCTTCACTTCGCCAAACGCGCTAACTTACCTCTCGGGTGTCATTCTTTTCGAGGAAACGCTTTACCAGAAAACTGTGGACGGGAAGCTTTTCGTCGATGTTCTCCTAGAGGCGAACGTACTTCCTGGGATTAAAGTCGATAAGGGTGTGGTCGACCTTTCTGGCACCAATGGTGAGACCACGACTCAAGGGTTAGATGGGCTCGGTGCTCGTTGTGCTGCTTACTACAAGGCCGGTGCTCGATTCGCCAAGTGGCGTGCGGTTCTTAAGATTGGACCGACTGAACCATCAGAGCTCTCGATCCAACAGAATGCACAAGGGTTGGCCCGTTACGCTATCATTTGCCAAGAGAACGGGCTCGTGCCGATCGTCGAACCGGAGATATTGACCGATGGGAGCCATGATATCAAGAAATGTGCGTATGCAACCGAGATGGTGCTGGCTGCGGTTTATAAAGCACTTAACGAGCAACATGTGCTTCTTGAAGGAACCCTTTTGAAACCAAATATGGTTACACCTGGCTCTGATAGCCCCAAGGTATTACATACTCAACTATTATATATATATATATATATATATATATATATATATATATATATATATACATGGGGTGCGTTCAAATAAAAACCACTCAATTTGTAAAAATCGTGAAAAACTCATTCAATCAATCATAATTTTTCATTTTGTTCATTTTTTTTTAATTACAAGAGGTTGATTCACCATTTTTATTATGGATGGTGTTAATCATGAATATTATCATCTTCATTATTTTAATTTTAGAGTAATACATGAAACAATTTCATTTAAATTTCATTAAATATTATATGAAATAATTTCATAACCATATATGAAACAAATTTATCAAAAAAAGTATTATATGAAAAAATTTCACATGATTAAACAATTTCATGAAAAAATTTCATAAGATTAAACAATGAAATCGACGTATGATGGGGGTTTGTACGATTTTTACAAATGAGAGTGGTTTTCATTTGATCGCTCATCTCTCTCTCTCGCTCTCTCTCTCTCTCTCTCTATATATATATATATATATATATATATTCGGGATCACGTGAGACTAGACTATTTTCGTGAGACCCGTAAAACCACTTTTTTACACTTGAAATTCACGGTAAAACACTGTGAAGGTAACCTTCACAGTGTTTTTGTTCGGAATGTTCGATTATTTTTTTATCTTCACAATGTTTTTACTGTGATGTTTCAAATGTAAAAAAAGTGGTCTCATGGATCTTACGAAAACAAACTCGTCTCTCGTGAACCCAACCCTATGTAAGTATACATATATGTATGTGTGTGTGTGTATATATATATATATATATATATGTATAATATTTTGAAAGATCATATTCATACGTGAATATAGTAACTAAATAAGAAAACGGTAGAATCACATGTAATTTTATACTAAAATCATGTGTAAAATCATATGTCACTCACACAACTTTGACCGTGAGAGGAGACCAACATTGTATAAGTGTCATAACATACCGTTTTGTATGATTTAAGTTTCTATACCAAACAATAAAACGTCATACCTAAAACTAAAATTGTTGTAATTTATATGACCTTTTTGGGCGTCTTTACAGGTTTTTTAGAACATTTTAAAAATAAAGCATCGTATTAGTCATTTTATATGACTTTTGATAAGTGTTGTATAAACACATATTTTTATAGAATACTTGATTTTATAAGACACTTTTTCATATAATGTGTCATAAAATAACTAATACGACGTTTTTTTTAAATGTCCTAAAACACTTGTTAGAACGCCAAAAAACATCATATAAACTTATCGCAACACTTTATCGTTTGGTAAACCTATGTTATTTAAAACAGTCTATTGGAACATTTAGTTCTATAAATAGTCTTTTAACATTTTCACGTCCAATGAAGCCGATTTCGTTGCAATGATAAATTGTCATGTCATTTTTCGTTCACATGTTGTCTAATATGACATTTTGTTATTCGATAGGTGACACCGGAAGAGATTGCTGAGTACACGGTGACAGCGTTACGTAGGACCGTGCCGGCTGCGGTACCAGGAGTCGTGTTTCTATCAGGTGGACAGAGCGAGGAGGAGGCAACGGTGAACCTGAACGCAATGAACAAGTTGGAGGTGTTGAAGCCATGGACATTATCGTTCTCCTTTGGACGAGCACTGCAATCAAGCACCCTGAAGACATGGGGCGGGAAGAAGGAGAACGTGGCGGCAGCTCAGGCAGGGTTCTTGGCACGGTGCAAGGCTAACTCGGAGGCGACTCTCGGGAAGTACGGAGGTGATGGTGCAGGGGGTTTGGCTTCGGAGAGTTTGTACGTGAAGGAATACAAATACTAACTAAGCTAGCTACCGATGAAGTAGTGACACGAGTTGGTGGAAAAACCGTGCGGGTTATTTTAATTTTTACGTGCATCTTATGTTCATATCCTTATATCACGATCGATACTTTGTTACGACCTTACTCTTTCTCTATATACAACGATCGTTCCCCATAATCCGCATGCTATATTCGTTCTCTTTTTATAGATTAAAAGCTGTATCAGGTTCATTGTAACACTCGAGTAAAAAGCAGTGGAGCAGTCTGGCCCATAACTTTAAAATCATGATGAAAATTAGTAATAACCAGTAATTTTGAACTTGTAAATTTTTAATTCGTTATAATATTGGATTGATAGTTATATACGTATATGCACATTTATGTGCATAAATACGTAGATATCTATATTACTGTAATGGAGACATAATATACTGTAACAAACTTTCGTATATATGTTCAGTAAATGTGATCATGTATATGCAAATTGAGGAAAAAACAACTGAATGCATAAGAATTATGGATAGACTGTATAATCTAGTTGATAATGAATAAATGAATTATGAGAACTATAAGGGTACTCGTGCAATGCATCGAGACACATTTCGATTTCAATGTCTTATTTTATTCTTTATTATATCAATATAATACGGTTTTATGTGGTTTTGAGAAAGTGATACTATTTTTATTTTTCAATAAAATATCATAAAATTTTGAAAAAACAATATTGATATTAGTATTAAATTAACCATTAATTTTTTTTTGTTGTATATAATTTCTTTAATTCAAAATTTTTATTATAATTTAATTTAACATAACGAATTAATTTAATTTATGTTTAATATATATATATATATATATATATGGGCTATATAGGGGCTGATTCAAATGCTAACCAAGATTATCGTGTTAACTTTGTTAACCGATCTTGACCGTTAATTTGAATAATAAACGGTTGTGATTTAATGATATTTAAAAATTAATATTTTCAATTAACATATGTGAACAAAATATCAAAGGATATTTAGATAAAAAATAATCTATCTTTGATACACGAGTTGTCAGACATATGAACAACTTGTGTATATCTTCAAACCACATCAAACAAAAAAGATTAGACATGTGAACATGTGAACCGTATGAACAACTTGTGTATATCTTCAAACCACATCAAACAAAAAAGATTAGACATATGAACAACATATGAACCGTATGAACATCTTCTGTATATTCAGGAACCAACTCTGTTGTATGTAAATGAACACCTATGAACCAAGGCATCTAGGGCTGTGTGTTTTCATACGTGTTCACATGTTCTTTGTGTGTGTGCGTATTCATATGAACATCTACTGACTTAAATATACATGAACACTTATGAATCACGGCATCTAAGACTGTGTGATTTCTGATGTGTTCATATATCAAAGGTGAACTGTCGATTAAAATAAATGTGAATTATAGAACATGAACATGTGTGAAACCCCAATGTCAATATTGCATCATGATCAATTGTGATATTTTCAAATTTGTAACTCCCAATTAATTATTTGGGAGTTACATTAAATGACAAATTACTTAAATACCCTTATATTTAATATATGAGTTACATTTGAACCAAATGAAAATATGAAATATGATTGGTTGAGCTTGGTTAACATAAATACATAATTAACACAAAAAAATGGTTAGTATTTGAACCAAGCGCGCTCTCTCTCTCTCTCTCTATATATATATATATATATATATATATATATA